TACAAGCGTGTCATGATTGCACGGTAGGAGCCGTGCTTTTATCAACTTGAGCCACACCTAAGCCTCCGCTTTCATCTTCTTCTTAGGGAACCTCTCGTGATGATTCATTTCCTTGTACCGAACCCATGCAATACTAGAGTTGACCCTATAAAGCATGTGCCTCAACTCTCTATAAGTAGGCCTGCGAATGAATTGTTCCAATGGGTCCACAGGAACATTGGGAGCACCTAAAAATTCAGATATGGCCTTGGGTGAAAAATCTATCAAACGTCCACCGATCGATACCATTTCCTAAGTGTCATGTGGATCAAACCCCGTATATAATTCCCTTACTAAGTTGAGGTTGATGTCCCCTGTGTTCTTAAAAACATAGCTTAACCCCAGATCCTGGATGCCTTTCCAAATAGCCGGATACTTCACTTTCACACTACGTTCCTGGATAGCTCCCTCGGGATGGATATGTTTAGGCCTACAACGCTTGTACCAATCCCTCGTATGTGGAGGTATGTTATTTATGCCAAACTCCCGCTGGCCTGGGGGTTGTGGACGCATGACAGCTATAACTGCTACCGCTTGGGCACCAGTCATACTAGAGGCAATTTCTCCCTCATTTCTTTTCTTTAGAGGAGGTGCGGAGGTCGCCTTTGCTTTAGCTTGGGCCGTTGAAGTAGCATTTCCCTTGCCTATATCTTTTCTGGGTGGCATCTTCGTTCCTACACAAACAAGCAGTACCCAGATAATGGTACATTACACACTACACACATAATCTCCCCCAAATTACCGAGGTTACTCAGACTTCACCTCGTATTTTCTTAACATTAGAATCAAACAACAACATATTGGCTACCCGTGAGCCACCCCACACTTAAAATGTTAATGTGGTGCATGATTACATAACACTAGATTACCAATTTCGGAGACTTGGGCTCCAAAGGGGACTAGGAATGCCATCAAGGTATTTCACCAAACACTTGACAAGCACTAGTGCCATGGGAGTTCTTATGTACTTGAGAGATTGCCTCATCTTCCCAAATAGGCTTGGGAGTTTTGTACTACCATATATTTTCACAATCACAACACCATTCCTAAGGGGTTCATGGGATTGGGGCATAAAAACACAATAAGACCATGAAGAATAACCACCCATAATGAAACACAACCAACACTCAATTCATGTACCCAACTCGAAATTACCAAGAAAAGAGATAGAATCATACCTTTGAAGATTTATGAGGAGTGGATTGCCTTAGAATTTTGGATAAGTGTGAAAGACTAGCAAGATGAAACTTGACCTCTATGTGGATGGTGATTGTGTGTGGGTGAACAAGCAATTTGTGCAATGTATTTGTGTTCTGTGAAATTTCTTATAGAACTTGGTGTGTGTTGGTTGAAGTGAGGTTAGGGTTTGCTTTGTAGAGTGTTCAGTGAGTGAGGGCATGTTTGTGAGGTTTGTTTCGACCAAAATAAGAAGAAATAACTTAAAAAGAGCAAAGAATACCTACCTAGCATTGGCCAGGCGTCGCCAGCCTAAGACCTGGCTGACCCTGGTGTTAGCCAGGTGTCGCCAGCCTAAGGCCTGGCTGACCCTGGCTTTATCCAGGCGACGCCAGCCTAAGACCTGGCTAACCTTGACTTTATCCAGGCAACGCCAGCCTAAAGCTTGGCTGACCCTAGCATTTTCCTGACTTCGCATGACGTTTAAACCTTGCTCGACTCGCCCAAACTCATCTGCAAACTTGTTAGTATCTAAAAACAAAAACAAAAATTCTAACTACACTGAAAATCAACTATGAATTGGGTTGCCTCCCAACAAGCACCTTAGTTAACGTCGCGGCATGATGAATACAATAGATGAATGAGTTCCCTCCCATGAAGCACCTAATTTAACGTCGCGACACAATGCAGATAAGCGCATTTATAATAGGCTCAACATTGGAGGCTCGATCAAATAGATCATTAACACTACCTTTGCTTTATCCATGCCCACATAATGTTTTAATCTGTGCCCATTAACTTTGAACGTGCGAGAGTCATTATTCGCAGTAATCTCTACGGCACTAGTGGGGTAAATTTCAACCATACAAAAAGGCCCTGACCATTGTGATTTCAATTTGCCCGGAAATAACCTTAGCTTGAGTTGTATAGCAATACCGTATCTCCGGGTTTAAAATTCTGCTCAATAATATTTCTATCATGTATCATCTTTATTCTCTCCTTGTATAATCTTGTACTCTCAAAAGCGTGATATTTGAACTCATCAAGTTCGTGCAACTTCGTTACTCTACTTGTTCCCGCAGCTTCAATATCAAGATTCAATTGTCTCAATGCCCACCAAGCTCTATGCTCCAACTCTACCGGTAAATGACATGCCTTCCCAAACACCAACTTGTATGGCGACATGCTGATTAGAGTTTTGAAAGCGGTTCGATAAGCCCAAAGTGCATCATCTAACTTCCTCGCCCAATATGTTCTAGTAGCATTCACAGTCTTAGTCAACATACTATTTATTTCTCTGTTCGAGACTTCCACTTGCCCGCTTGTTTGTGGATAATATGGGGTGGCCACCTTGTGGCGTACATCATGCTTCTCTAACAACTTCGCAAAGGCTCGATTACAAAAGTGAGTGCCTCCGTCACTGATTATTGCCCTTGGAGTGCCAAATCGGGCGAATAGGTTCTTTCTCAAAAAACCAATTACCCCCTTTGCATCATTTGTAGGGAGTGCCGCAGCCTCCACCCATTTGGACACGTAGTCCACAGTGACGAGTATGTACTTGTTTCCATATGAGCTGATGAAAGGCCCCATGAAATCGATCCCTCATACACCAAACACGTCTACCTCCGGAATTGGGTTTATAGGCATCTCATGCCAGCGGGAAATATTCCCAGTTCATTGGCATTCATCACACCCCTTTATCTATAAATGTGCATCTTTGAACAGTGTTAGCCAGTAGAAGCCCGACTCCAAGACTTTCATAACTGTCCTTACTCTCCCGAAGTGCCCGCCATATGGTGACGCGTGACATGCCTGCAAAATAGAAGACTGGTCTATCTCGGGGATACATCTCCGGATCATGTTATCAATACAAATCCTGAACAGATAAGGCTCATCCCAATAATACATGCGACAATCATGAAAGAACATTTTCTTTTGAACAGAGGAAAGGTCATAAGGAACAATACCACTCGCCAGGTAGTTTGCAATGTCTGCATACCATGGTGCTTCCTCGAGACTCGTGGCTAGTAGTTGTTCATCTGGTAAAGTTTCCAGAATCTCTTCTACCTCAATCTTCTTCTCAGCTACTTCTATCCTAGACAAATAATCAGCTACTTGGTTCTCCGTTCCCTTTCGGTCACGGATTTCCAAATCAAATTCTTGCAGCAGTAGCACCCATCAAATCAGGCGTGATTTTGAATCCTTCTTCTCGATTAAGTACCTGAGAACAGTATGGTCAGTATAAACAATTACCTTTGAACCTATCAGGTATGACCTGAACTTGTCAAATGCGAACACCACTGCCAACATCTCTTTCTCGGTCACAGTGTAATTTAGCTAGGCTCCACTCAGCGTTCTACTTGCACAGTATATTAGATGCATGACTTTATCTTTTCGCTGCCCAAAAATTGCTCCCACAGCATAGTCACTCGCATCAAACATCAACTCAAATGGTTGCTCCCAGTTGGGGGAAACTATGATAGGTGTTGTTACCAATCTCTTCTTTAATTCCTTAAAAGCTACCATGCAATCATCAGAAAACACAAAAGGGTGACCATTTTCAAGCAATTTACACAAGGGGTTAGCAATTTTGGAAAAATCATTTATAAATCTCCTACAAAAACCGGCGTGCCCAAGGAAACTTCTGATTGCTTTGATGAAAATGGGTGGTGGAAGCTTTTCTATCACATCAACCTTTACATGATCCACCTCAATGCTCTTACTTGACATTAGGTGCCCCAAGACTATACCTTCATGTACCATGAAATGACACTTTTCCCAGTTTAGTACCAGATTCGTCTCGATACACCTCTTTAATACTCTTCTCAAGTTTATAAGGCAGTCATTGAATGAATTCCCCACCACTGAGAAGTCATCCATGAAAACCTCAATTATTTCCTCTACCATATCTGTGAAGATGGCCATCATGCACATTTGGAATGTGGAGGGTGCGTTGCATAGGCCAAACGACATTCTCCGAAAGGCTTAGATACCATAAGGGTAGGTGAACGACATTTTCTCTCTATCCTCTGGGGCAATGGAAATTTGATTATATCCCGAGTACCCATCCAGAAAGCAAAAGTGAGACCTCCCTGCCAATCTATCTAGCATCTGATCAATGAATAGCAGTGGGAAATGGTCTTTCCTGGTAGCCAAGTTCAACTTCCTATAATCCATACAGATTCTCCAACCTGCGACTGTTCTTGTAGAGATCAATTCGTTCTTCTCATTTTTTCATTACCTTCATACCTCCCTTTTTTGGCACACAGTAAACTGGGCTGATCCAGTTGCTGTCAGAGATGGGGAATATGATTCCGACATCTAACCACTTAATCACTTCTTTCTTCATCACTTCTTTCTTGTTGGGGTTCAACATTCTTTGATGTTCTCTAGAGGTTTGTGCCCCTCTTTTAGTAAAATCTTATGCATATAGAAGGCGGGGATGATCCCCTTAATGTCTGCAATGGTCCACCTAATTGCAGTCTTGCACTCAGTCAGTACCTGAAAAAGCTGTTCTGCCTGCACATCTAACAGACTAGATGAGATAATAACAGGTAAAGTTGAGTTAGGTCCTAAGAATGCATACTTGAGATGAGATGGCAGTGGCTTCAGTTCCAACTTTGTTAGATCTTCTATCGATGGCTTAGCTGGAGGAGTTTTTCTGTCCTTTAAGTGTAAAGGCTCAAATTCGTGCTCTTTTCTCCAAAAACCTTGACCTTCAAGAGCAAGTACCCACTCTGCCAAATCTTCTCCATTGGCTTCATCTAAGTTCATGAGATAGGCTGCTAGAGGATCTTTAATGCCTCATCTTTTTCCTCCAAAACAACATCCACGGCATATACTAGAGAGTAATTAGCAAATTCACTCGGTCGTCGCACGTTAAATGTTATCTCTTCATCGTTTAATCTCATTTTGAGCTCTCTAATTTCACAATCAATTAAAGCTCTCCCAATAGCCAAGAATGGTCTTCCCAAAATTATGGAAATTTCCTCGTCAACCCGACAATCGAGAATAACAAAATCTGTTGGGAACACAAACTTCCCAACCTATACTAATACAGCATCAAGAATACTAGAGGGTCTCTTCACTGTCCGGTCAGCCATCTGTAGTACATAGACGTGGGTCTAGCTCTTCCAATGCCTAGCCTTTTGTAGATAGCCAGGGACATAAGCTTTATGCTTGCTCGATATCACACAGTTCCTTAGCAAATGCATAGTTGCCTATTGTGCAAAGGATTGTGAAACTCCTTGGGTCAGACAACTTCTCAGCTATGGGTCTCGTCACAACAACACTGCAGGTCTGAGTCAGTGTAACTGTGGGCAAGGCTTGAAAGTCGAACTTGCGGGACATCAAGTCCTTCATCATTTTCGCATAACCAGACATCTCCTTTAAAGCTTCAATCAATAGAATGTTTACCTGAATTTGCTTCAACATCTCCAAGAATTTCTTGTATTGCTCATCTTTTTGATACTTCGCCAATCACTATGGGAATGGTGTTGGAGGTCGCTTCTTCCCTGTGATTTGATTTTTTTCTTGTTCGGGCACTGCTTCTACTATCGGTTCCGGTGCAACCTCGGTCTCTTTCACAACCTCTTTTTCTTTGTTAGCAATATTTTGTGCATGCTGTACCGTCACCTCAGTTAACCCTGCTGAATCATCTATCTCAATAGATACTGGCACCAGTGTCTCAGTCGGTCTGCTTTCGCGAGAAATTTCTTGCTCCCGATCTAGATCTATACCATTTCGGAGATCACTACCATAAGCTGCTTCGGGACCTACTCTTTTAGATTGTTTTGTGTGTTTGTGGATCTCAATATTCTTTATCGCTGATTCATGTGAGTCTACTCTGTCAGTTAGTTTTCCTGTGGACCCAATCACTTGTTGCATCATTCCCTCAAGTTTAGCAAACCCATCTTCATGTCTCACAGTTTGTTGTTGTTGAGATTGTTGATAAGCCTACTGCTGAGTTTGTTGGTTATAACCATGTTGCCTTTGGTAAGGCACCACTTGGTCCTGTGATCGCATATCCCCTAAGATTTTTGTTGTTGTTGTACTGCTGTAGAGCTGGTCTATATTGTTGATTCTACTGACCCTAATTCTTACCACCTGGGCTCTATCCCCCATAGTTGGCCACATAATTCATGTTCTCCTGATATTATTGGTTATCACCTTCCGCATTCCACGAGCAGAAATATGGTTGATTAATGCATGATGTACATAACCCCAATTAGTTGCATCAACTATGTGTACATGGTGCTTCTGGCCTGATTCATCAACTTTTTTGGTGAGGATGCTCATTTGTGTCAGTAGAGTGGCCATATTTTCAGCTATTGAGTTAGTCAGGTCTAAAGCAACTAAGTGAACCACAGGAGTGATTGGAGCTTTTCTTGTTGTCCATCCTGAGTTCTGTGCCATCTTGTCAAGTAGGATCTTGCTTTCTCTGAATGTTTTGCTAAAAAATGCTCCACTTGCTGAAACATCAACATTGGCTTTCAAGCTATATGCCAAACCCATGTAAAACCTCTGCTCCAACGTTTGCTTTGGAATACCATGATGTGGACATGTAACCAGCAGACCCTTCAACCTCTCCCACGTTTCTTGTAATGTCTCTGTTGGTTTCTGTCTGAAGCTCAAAATCTCATCAATTTGTTGATCAGTCTTGTTGGGTGGGTGAAATTTGTTCACAAATTGCTTGACTAATTCCTCCCAAGTAGTGATGGAGTTTATGAGGAGTGAATTAAGCCAAGTCTGAGCCGCTCCCGTCATTGAGAATGGAAACAACAACAGTCATACTGCTTCCGGTGTCATGTTATGTTGCCTCTGCGTGGCACAGATTGACAGGAAATTCTTCCTATGTTGTTGAGGATCTTCAACGTATGACCCCGAGAACAGTCCCTTGTTCTGCAGCAAATGTAGCATGTTATTTGTGATTTGGAATGATTCTGCTTGTATCTGAGGGACTACAATTGCAGTTGCTAAGTTGTCAGTGGTGGGTTGTGCCCAATCGTGCAATGATGCTTCTGGCACAAACAGCACCACACTCTGATTGATCGGGTCATCCTCATTATTTCTGTTGTTTACTTCGTCTCCCATGTCTGGTTCAATTTGTTCTGTTGAGTTCTATTGTAGTTTGATATCTTGTTTGCATGATTCAATGGCTTGAAAACTTTCTCAGGATCTGATAATGCTTCAAACAAATCACTAGTTCTTGAGGAGTTTCTATGCATGCACCTGTAACACCCAAGACTACAAACATTAGAATTTCAATGTATTCAGTTTAAATTGAAGAAAATTGACTACACTAAGAATTTTTGCACTTCTTTTAACTACAATTAATAACACCATTAATTCCCCGGAAACAGTGCCAAAATTTGATCACACCCAACTAAGCCTTATAAAAAGGACAAACCGATCGCTGCAAATATATTCCAGCTAACAAGTTCGGAGTCAAATCCCATACGGAATTAACCTACAATCACAGCTACTGGACTTACACAAATTCACGTATTCAATCATCGAAGATATTTAAGTAGTAGATTGGATCTTTACTGAATAAATATTACGTAATAAAAATGCAATAATTAAGAACTAACTACTAACGGTTTGTAGACAAGAATTGGAATGATCTAAGGTTCTGATTTCCCCTATTGTTGGAATCCTTTCTGCTATGTTTGCTATAAATTTGCCTAAGTCTTCTCTATCAATCATGAGCATTATGATTGTAATAACTCTCTCCCGAGTAATTGCAACAATATACTAGACATATTCTCCCGAATTACGCTAGCTAGCTTTAAGTACAGCTCACTTAGATCGCACCCAAAGTTTCGTTATCCCTAATCCCACCTTTAAACCCTTCATATTGATCCTTCATATATGTTAGGAGTGATGATGTTTAATAACTACCTAAATATGCACTCTCTCTCGAGTAATGCACACTAAATAGGAACAACTAATTGAGGGCCCTTCAATCAACAACAATAAGTATATAGTTGAACAAATAGAGATAATACTATGGCAAATCTATATTAACATAACGAGAAATCATCCTTCAACAGGTTCCATCAAATCCCTAGATTATGAGTTTAGCTACTCATACTCATAGTAATAATATCCAAAGTAATTTGCATAATTAAATTACAGAGTAAGGATAAAGAGATGTTGAAATCAATGATTCCAACTCCCAAGTAGTGTTCCACGAGCTATTCTTGCCTCTGGTTGCAAAAGTCTTTCAAAGTGACATTTTTGGGTCTATTTATATGTTTGGGACAAGCCCTAAATGTGTAGGTAAACTCCTAGTCAATCCGGGAAACAATTAAAACCTTCAAAACTCGGACTGGGCCTAGCCTTAGGCCTGGCATCGCCTGGCTAACGCTAGCCTCAGCCGGGCTTTAAGCTAGTGTCGCCAGGATAATGCCTGATTGGGCCTGACTTTAAGCTGGCCTTGCCAGGCTAAAGCCTGGTCGAGCTGGCTTTTGCCCGTCTTCTTCTTTTCACCGTTCTCGGGCGCACTTTCGACGTTTAAGCATCCTTTTAGCTCCACTTTCATTTTCGATGCACCTACACATAAAACAGACTCCATTACGCTCAAACAAAGTGTAATTTAACATTAAAGCATGTAAAACGCAAAGCATATAATGTGAAAAAACCATGAATTATAGCCACACATCACCCAACAGGCTCTAAACTGGGTAATCCCTAATTTCCCTATCAATTTTCATACTTAAATTTTCCTCCCTTCGTATAACTTTCCTTTCTATGTCTGCAGGCTTCGGTGCTTTATCATGAGGCTTTCCTCCGATTCCTAAGGGAACTGAGCCGTTATGAGGCCGAGATCCAAGGGTTGATTGAGGAAAAGGATGCCTTCAAGCTTCTAAAGCGAGCAAAGGGACAGGGAAGCTACAGGCCTCCGTGCTGAGCTGGAAACGACTCAGAAAAATCATGCCGAACTGGTCGAGCAGGTAAGAAGAATATTTGAAGTTAGTGACGGTTATTTGGGCGTGGTATCTAATGGTTCGAACCAACAGATCCAACAAAAGCTCAATGTGATCAGGCAACTCCGTGAAGAGGCTGATGTACTAAAAATTGAGGCCAAAGGCTGGAGGGAGAAAATGGACCGCCTGGCCTCAGAGAAGGAGACTGCTCGGGCCCAGTTGGCCTAAGCTGAAAACCAGCTCTGGGGTATGAAAGAAGAAATCTTGGCGCGGGCAAGCTCCAGTCCTAGTTGGGTTTAGAGGTTTTTGCTCGGGAGAGTCTGGTCATGGAGCTTGAAGCGGCCAAATCCGAAGTTAAGGCAACCAAGATTGATGTTGATGTAGTGGTGGCTATTTACCGGGCTTATGCCGAAGCTGAGAAAATCACCAAGCACGCCAAGTGTTAATCTCGAAGGGAGTCCCTAGAGGAAATTAATGCTCAAGGATTTGATCTCACAACCGAGATCGAGAGTGCTACCGAGCTCGAAGATGAAACCTGGAGATTAGCTTACCCTGACGATGGTGACGAGTCTGGGAGCTTGAGCGGATCCGAAAGCAGAGATGACCCCCGAGGGCGGAGGTGCCTCTCCCGGAGATGACCAGGTTACTTAATCTTTTAGATAGTTTTTTTTTGACTTTTTGTTGAGGTCGTTTCGGACTTTGTAAAGAATTTCCATCGGTTCGTGTTGCCTTTGTAAAATTATTTTGATGAATATATAAAACTTCTTCCTTTCCATGGTTTATGAATCTGTTGCCTTTTTTGTCATTTCATGTAAGGGTCAGAATGCCTCACCGTAAGATCATGAAGTTGTGTTCGAGGGTCCAAGGTTTGAGGAAGGTCAGGGGCGACAATAATCCTTGCCTTCGACCTTTTCTAATCGATGGACTCCGAATGATTACTCGAACTTGAGTTTATGTAGCCCTTAAGCTTAATGATCGAGTGAGAACATGCTCGAACTGGGAATTAGGTAGCCCTTAGGCTTTCTAGTCAAGTGAGAAGGATCTGTCGAACTCGAAGTGAAAGTAGCTCTTGGGCATTTGTAAATTTTGTATTTGGCCGTTCTGGCCTTTATAAAACGTTCATTTAATTATATATATAAAGCTTTTCTACCCTTTTCGGCTTTCAAAGTTTTTCCTTTATTTAGCATTCGTGTTTACAAAGGTTGCAATGCCTTGGCATGAAATAAGGAGTTTGTTTGAGAGTTCAAACAACTTTGTACTCATTAGAGTTTTTGAGGTTTGATATAATCGAAGCCTTTTATAACTTTATCAGGGGTATCCCTTTTAACCGGTTTATGAAAGAATTCGAAGGCATATTTTGTTACGAAATTCGGACGTCTTCAAACTATATTAATTTGACTGTAGCCTCTTTAGTCCGGGATTTGACCCTTGGGCTTATTTTCCCTTTTTGCT